ACTTGCTCTCAAAGGCAGCACAAAGAAAGTTCAGTGCTCCTGTGAGCTGATGTCACAAGCCCTCGCGTATATACTGACTTCTTTTAAAAGGGAAAATCTAGCTCAGTCCGAGCAGAGACTCATTTAGCTTTCCGTCCCCGTGCCCCCTTTAATCTTTAGTTTTTTTATCTGGGTATGAGCGTATCCCACAGACTTGACTCCCGATTCGTTGTGCTGCCGTGTGTATCTTTTGCATTTGCAGGAGGTCACCACTGTGATCTTGTAGGTCCTGGTGCTGCCATCCTGACACAGGAGCTGAATCCGCTGGGTCCGGGTCTTGTCGTTCACGCAGCGCCAGTCCTGACTGTTTCGGCGATTCCAGAACTTCCTACCATATCCGCCAATCCAGTTGGGCAGCATTTGAGCTGGAAGACATTGTCCAGTGCACACCAGTTCCTTAACAGGGTTTATGCTGGTACACTGGCCGTCTGAGATGTACTTTGTGGATCGCAGCTCTCTGCAGCCGACTGGGATTCGTGCTGTAACACAAAGTGATAAAAAACGTTTAGCCACATTTACATATCAATATCAGATCAACACAAGTCTTTTAAGATCTATGAAGAAAGACTTAGGCCTATAGGATTCACCTTGGTGCTGTTCCTTCACGGTTTGTGAACAGACATAAACAACAGTGGTATGGATGATATGCTTGGTTTGCTTTACTTAAGCCCTTATCTGAACTGAGCGGAAATGGTTTAGTGTACAGATGAATGACGACTCTGAGCCTCTTATTGTCGGATTTCGCCGGTGCTGCTGGCTATACTGTCAGCATTGTTCTGCCTCAGAGAAGAGCCTCCTGTCAGCATAACCCGAGCCAAAATCTATTCAAACAGCAGCAACACACCTCAGTTACAATGTGCCCCCCTCTCTATGACAGGACATGATGAATGGGGATCGGAGGGACATTTTCTTCCTCCCCACTTCAAAACAAACAGGGTTCCCCCTGGAGACTTCCTGAAAAGCTGAGCTGCACCTCCACTCTCCAGTCTGACAAGATTCACTCAGCGGACATTGTACTCGACAACAATTTATCTCTACTTCCCGATGTGGTTATGAGCCAAGAGACTGTGTAATATATATCATTTCCTACAGTATTTTGCCATACCGTTAACCTTAACACACAGAGCTAACTTTCTCCTTGCAACATACAATTACTTGCATATTATTAATACATTTCAGTGTTAATGTAAATGGTGTTTCATGATTCATTACTGTTTAAATTTTGCTGCAAAGTCTATACTAGCCTATTTAATGGTGGTTTTCACTGTCAGAACCCATATTGTGTGACAACATGCCCCACTACACATCAACATATATGTTAAATGATCTGTATTGATCTGTATGATCTGACGGTGGAAGATGGCCAAGACTTTAAGGCATACTCTATAGAGAAATTGACATTCAGAGATAAACCCCTGACAGAAATATTCACCAGAGTAAAAAGTGTGACAACTAGCCCCGGTCTCCTCGACCATAAACACTATGGATAAAAACACCTGTAAAATATCAGCTTTTTGTTTAGGCTACTTTCTATTCTATAAATGAATGAGCAAATAAATATAAAAACATTTATTTCACATGATCAAAGACACAGTAATGAAGAAATTCCTGAAATGTGAACACTCTTTGTGATATATTGGTTATATGATATATTTGTTAAAGTTTGACGCATTTATTTAAACTTATGTTCGTTTAAAGTGAGTTTAGTTTACTTTAAATTAATTTAAAAAATTAGACGTGTAAAGATATTCAAACGACGTTTCTCTAAATCAACCAATCAAAATTCTCACTTTCCGTAAATGTAACTAAAACGTCTTTTTTTTATGTTAATTGTAAATGAAACATCAAAACAATCTATCAAAATGAATGATCCCTAATAAAACTGAGTCGAATGTCGTGAAGCGCGGCGCGTGAACTCACCTCTCTCGTGCGCTGTGAAGCCTCTTCCACCGGAGCGCGCGCGATTCAGAGACGCGTTGCTCTGAGCATCCTGAACGGGACTGACCACATGAGGGTAGAAAATCTCCGTAGCATCATTCTTCAAAGTCAGACCACTCCTTATTAAAAAGCAAAATAAAAACATGAAATTGCACGAGTCGGGTGCGTTTATATGCATGTTGATGTGAAATAACCCACAGCCTGTGGAGATGCTCCTGGAGTCTGAATGATTCTCATTCACTATCATGTCTTGGGTTATATATACAGTTTAGACTATATACGCTCCCGCCTCCAGTTTTGGCAAAGGCTCAGGTGAGCGGAATGATAAAACAAGCGCAGTCAGTCTCTCCGCTAGACCACACCCAGAGAAGCACTCGACCCTGTGAGGTGCTCCAACATCTGGAGTCAAATTAATGCGTACTGGACTCCCTGAGAGCCCCTAATTCATTTAGAGATGTTTTTGTGCTGTTAAACACTCAGCACTTTATGTAAGCAAACTTTGTCTTGATTTTTTTAAAAGGGTGTTGCAAGCATAATCTGCCCACAAAGTATTTATTATGAAAATTACTTACGAAAAGTGTCAGAGAAAACATTATTTTCTCATTTAAGCAGCAATTAATCAACAATCAATCTGTATTGCAAGTTGATTCGATCTGCTTACTGAAAATGAGGCGAAGATGACAAGATTGATTGATTGATTGATTGATACATACTAGCTATATACTTACTGAAGTGTATACTGCATAACGGTTAAGTGAAACAGTAGGCATTTTTCCATGATAAAATTTTAAAACTGTGATCTATAATTAATAGTAGCTAAAGAATGATAGACAAAATGACAGACAGACAGAGGATAGATAGATTAGTTATCATCTTAGAAATTTTGTAATAATAATATACTTTTTCCCCGTAAAATAGCAAGTGAAGAAAGATATGTCCAGTACCTGAATATGTGTACTAAATTCCTTATTCATTTGTAAGGGTAGTCTCCTCAACGTGCGTGTGACATAATGCTCTATTATACCATGTAAAAAATTATCACAATCAATTAAAACAATACACTTACATTTAGTCATTTAGCAGACGCTTTTATCCAAAGCGACTTACAAATGAGGACAAACGCAATTATACCATAAACATGTCACACTTTTGTTTCCCGTGGTGGAAGCTTAACAACATTTTAAGGGAAAGTGTGCCCTCTCATGAAAAAAGAAGCATCAAAAAAAGTTTGAAAATGTCAACCGAGACAAACACACAAACACACAAACCCTAAGCTCTCAGGGTCGCGCGCTCAAAAAAGCATGGCTGTGTCCGAAATCGCCCCCTATACCCTTAAATAGGACACTATTTGAGGGAACAGCCATTTTTAGTGGGGTCCGAAACCATAGTGGACGTTCGCGAGTGCACTCATTCAATCCCACAATGCACTGCAAAAACGAGTGTACAACTGGTGCACTCAACGGCTAGAGAATGCCCATAATGCACCGTGAGAGTCACGCGCCGAATGAATTCCCGCATCTCGCCAGAAGATGGCGCCCGCAGCTGAATAATCAATCCGTTCATTTTTACAAAGAGCTCATCCATGGCGTACAGCATAATGTACAACACGGGTGTAGATTCATTGTAAATTGATTATTAAATTGTTTGATTAGGGTTTATACATAATTTCCGTGACAGAGTTCAAGATAAATCCTTTAATCTTACTACTGGAGCTGCTAGTTTGCTAGTTTCAAATGATTAATAAACAGCAAGCACAAACTATGCAAAAGCGGCATTCCTTCCGGTGCACTCAGTGTCCGAATTCACTACTCGTTTTCATTCACTCCTTCTAGTGAACTGAATTAGTGACCTAATGTAGGGAATAGTGAATGAGGGTATAGGGGGCGATTTCGGACACAGCCTTTGTCTTGTTTATACAGTCTAGGTTAAAAAATAAATAAATAAAAAGTTAATCAAGGTTTTAAAAGCTCATTTTTAGACCATTTGTTACAAATGGTTTTTACACCATTGTTGTTACACCAAAAACAAGATTCTTTGCAGTATTTGTATTGGCAAAAAAAGTTCTTTCAGCTTTATATCTGAACCCCTTCACTCAAGATCCCGAATATCGCCAATAAGTGCTGCACCATTTGCCATCCGTGAGGTTTTTAGACAGAAAAGGTCGGCATCCATAAATTACAAACTTGCAATATTAGAATTCACCAAAAGTGATCAAAGATATCAAAAATGCTGTAAAAATGAATAATAGGATATACCACATTGGCTTATTATGTGATTGATAAACTACTAAACTACACCATTATGCATCTGGACACTGGTTGAGCCAAGAGTTTTACTTAATTTTTGACATTTTTACTGTTTTTTTTTGTAATAAATGCAGTGTGACTGACTCTAATTTCTTATGTTGAAAACAGTTGTGCTGCTTACTATTTTGTTGTGTAAACTATGATACACTACCATTCAAATGTTTGGGGTAAGATTTAAATCAGCATCTTAGAATGATTTCTGAAGGATCATCTGACACTGGAGACTGGAGTAATGATGCTGAAAATTCAGCTTTGTCATCACAGGAATAAAGTACATTTTACCATATATTAAAATAGAAAACAGCTATTTTAAATTGTAATATTTCAAAATATTAGTTTTTTACTGTACTTTTAAGTAAATAAATGCAGCCTTGGTGAGCATAAGGGACTTCTTTAAAAACATTAAAAATCTTAATTATTCCAAACTTTTAAACAGTGGGGTACTGTACAATTGGCAGAAGTGAAGCAGGAGGAAAGGAGACAGGCATTTAGGCTGTTCAGCGTAGAAAGACAGAGGGTGCTTGATTCTATTGCCTTTGGCAGACGAGCACTACCGCCTCCTACAGGAAGAAAAGTGACCAACTCGATCACAAAACCAGTAGGTAAGCTAAGGTTCTCTAGTCTAACAGAGAACTATTAACTAGAAAATCAATTCCAGCATTTTAAGATTCGTAAAATGTTTCTAATCTAAAGAACTGTTTTATTGTTACAGGTCAGCATGTCTCACGAAAGAGGTGTACAGAGTCAGTGTCACAAGAGTATTTTAAAAATATTTTTAATGATTAAACTACAGCAAATGTTTCACGGGAGCTGACTTTGGATGTTTTCCTTAGCAGTCATTCTGATGATCGAGAAAACCCGTCAGTGGCCAAATCCATCATACAGTTCTCCATTATGGTTTAAATCAATGAAAAACAGCTCTTACATTGTCGTTTCAATCTCAATAAACTTCGTCAAGACTAATGTGTGTTTTCAAGTTGTTTTCTGAAATATTTGTAGTGTGAATGAAGTCTAATATTTGACATGTTCATCAAAGAACATGTGATGTAATAGTTTGTAACTTGCAGACGGAAAATCTATGTGTTTGATTTGTGAAACCGTATAACTGTATTTCAATATCAGATGTCCCCAAAAATACCTGCTGCATTTAAATAAATTCTACAGATTTATAAAGACTCACATAAGCTGCTGCTGCCATCTATTAATTTGTTCCTTTTCCATAACAACAAGCTAAGAAATTTAAGGCATAGGCATCAATGTCTTGCAGCAATATATTAGAATATCTTTCCTAAAGCAAAACCTACATCACACATACATGATTTTCACATACATAAATACATATATTTTCCCCAACATAAATGTAAAAAGACTATTTAAAACAAACAAACAAAAAATCTACATTTTGTCACTTGTAGACCCTTCCCTCTATGCATTTGTGTGGCTAAGCTTTTGGTGGTTTTCCCTTATGTTATGTGCTTTCAGAAGAGCATCCTGTAAGAGTTATGAAGAAACCTTCAGAAACTCTGGGTGAGGTCACGGACCTGCTCTCTTTTGTCTTAGATGGTTCTTCAATGACGATGATGGTTGCTGGGTTGAAATAGTGTGATTCATTGTGATTCAGTCTGTAGTAAGAGGGACTGTCCCTGAGGTAACATCTTGGTTTTGGTTATCTGAGGAGCTGGTAGTCTCACTCTGACAGACAGAGAGCTCCTCCATAGTGCCTGTCATCTCCTCTAATGCTTGATCACCCTCAGCTATGAAAGAAAAAGAGAGCTTGCATTACGTCATTCCTCAGCTAAATATGTATTCCAATGCTTTACTTTAAATGATCCCAACTGATTCTTAGCTTTATTCTTGAAACAAATTACTCTTATGATTTAGTTCTTTTTTGTCAATAAAAAACATACAGTGTGAACAGTGAAGCCTGATTCCTGAAATGAATGCAGGGCTTGCAAAATCGGTAGGCCGACGTCCTGGGACCGAAATGTACCAGGGTTCCCGCGGGTGCAAAAAAAAAAGCCTTAAAAAGTCTTAAATTTAGTTGTATCAAATATAAGGCCATAAAAAGTCTTAAATATCTTAAATGGTATAAGAAAATTCTTAATTATAATTTCAAGAGGTCTTAAATTTGGGGATGGACAGACAAGAACCGTGATATGGTTCAATGTGACGATTAAACTTCAAAAATAATTCTGGTAATAAATAGCTTTAGTGAATCAAAACCTTACGGTGTGAACACTGCAGCTTGATTTTGAAACAAATGACTCAGAATGAAACAAATGAGTAAGTTGTTTTCAGTGAATCAAAAACATACAGCATAAACAGCGCAGCTTGATTTTCGAAGAGAATGACTTTTCTGATTTGTTCCTTTTTAGTGAATCAAAAACTGATTTGGTTCTGCTTAAAAATTAAAACATACATAATTACCAAAATGAATGGCTCTTTGTCTTTTTAATCTTATTACATTCAATTCAGATGGCAATCTCACAATTTGGTTAAAAAAATCATTTCTTCTTGCTGTGATGTTGTAGATTAAATAAAGTGAGTGCAGAGAATATGGGGCATTCCCAAAGTACATGTCAAGGCCGAGGTAATGCCATGGTACAATGCCAAAAAAACATGATAATACCATGATACTTCTCATAAATCTCATAGTAAAGCAAAACTAATCTGATTTGGATACCTTTGGCCTGTTTCTGTAGCCGTGATGCTGACTCAGCTTCATGTTTCTCTCTCTGCTCCTGTAACATCTTACAGACCTTTTTATGGCTGAACCAGTGCAGCTTCTGACAGGCCTGGTCACAGTAGATCACCTGAAGAAGTGCACAGATTTAAGAAAGCACCCCAAGAAAAAAAAAAATCCAGAAGTCATTAGACAAATCCTGATATTTACCATTTTACAGATGGAGCATCTTTTCTCTGCTCCTTTTTCACCACAGGTTGTGCAGAAGTCTGCGTCCATGAAACCCACCTGTCCCGTGATGGCCTGCGTGAGCACTGACAGAGCAGTGGGGTCACTTCCCTGTCAGAAAAGGACTGGTGAGGCTTCCATACACAGAATGTGGTTCAGTCTTTCTAGTTGAGGCTATGATTCCATTATTTTATTACACTTCCAGTGTCTTCTACATGAGCAAATAGAGGTCACTGTAACTCAAACTCACAATTTCCACTGGGGCAATACTCCGGACCAGCTGCTGCAGTAATGTGGCATCACAGTATGGAAATTTCCTAATGCACTCCCGAATGAACTTGTCCTGGAATACCGGGAAGCCATCACTGTCTCGCCCTTTCAAAAGACTGAGAAAAGATTTTTGAGTTAGAGTAAATTTAGTTTACTCTCTAATACATATATACATTATTGTTCAAATGTTCTGGGGTCAGGAAGATTTTTTAAACGTTTTTGAAAGTCTCATGTTCACCAAGGCTGCATTAATTTGATCAAAAATACTGGAAAAACAGTAATGTTGTGAAATATTATTACAACTTTAAATAACTGTTTTCTATTTGAATATATTTTAAAATGTAATTTATTCCTGTGATAGTAAAGCTGAATTTTCAGCAGCCATTACTTCAGTCTTCAGTGTCACACGATCCTTCAGAAATAATTCTAATGAGAATTCAAAAAATATTTATTATTATTATTGTTGTTGAAAACAGTTGTGCTGCTTAATATTTTTGTGGATTTTTTGATGAATAGAAAGAAAAAAAAAAGAGCATTTCTTTCTTACATAAATCTTTTGTAACATTATAAATGTCTTTATTGTCACTTTTGATCAAATTAATGCATCCTTGCTGAATAAAAAATCTTACTGACACCATACTTTTGAATGGTAGCATATATATATATAATATTTTACCTCTTGATTAGGCCATCAAGTTTGTCCTGTCGCTCTTTCAGGAAAGAGCCACATTTCTGCAGCACACAGCTGAGGTAGTGCATCTTCATGGCCAACACCTCATTCATATCCTGCTGTTTGATGCACATCTCACAGACAAGCTCCAGAACCTGGAAAAACAGTGAGTTATTAAAGTTGGGTCAGATTTCAATTCAGTTACTGTAAGCTTATTGTAATGAATCTCAACTCAGCTCTATTAACACTTACATAATGCAGAATGCATGCAACTGACCTTGCGGCACTTCTCAACTGCTTCCACATCCATCAGCAGAGGGTTTTCTTTCACCAACATCACTATCTGCAGCCAAACAAGTCACAAGAACATCCAGTCTTAACAATTCAGGATGAATTATGCTTTGTCCATAGTTAGTGGTTTGATGATTTTTATTAGTATTATAGTCATCAGGTTCAGAAAGACCATATTGCGGCATTTTTACTTTAAAATATACATATTTAAGTTGTATTCATGAGCATTTCCACCTTTATTTTGATAGTACAGTATAGGGACAGACAAAAGACAATGGGAGAGGAGAGAGGGGAAAAGGACTGGGAAAGGATCTCGAGTCAGAACTCAAACTCGGGTCGTTCAAGGCGCATCTGTGCTATATGTGCTGCCCACATATATATACACGTGTATGTGGATATAGCTCAGACCAAAAAAAAAGTACCTTTACAGGGTTGGGGTTGGTACTCATTATAATTTTGTGTAGCGGTCCAGCAAGTTTAGGAGGGAGTTTTGGTTCCTTTTCCAGGCCCTGTGGTTTTGTGTAGTAATCCAACCTCGCCCGGGAGAAGAAGTTATTGATGACCGTCACACAGTCATGCTGCCCTGAGGGGAAAAAAGTTATCTCATTTACAATTGACTTTTGGAAACATAAAATACCTTACGACTTCTCTGAATCTGGCATACTACTGTTCAAAAGTTTGGGGCCAGCAAAAAAAAATTGGAAAAAAAAAAGTTTCAGTCAGCAAGGATGCATTCAATTGATCAAAAGTGACAGTAAAGACTTTTATAATGTTACAAAAGATTCCTATTTCAAATAAATGCTGTTCATTTTTATCTTTCTATTCATCAAAGAATTCTGAAAAAATGTATTATGGTTTCCACAAAAATACTGAGCAGCATAAGAACAAAAAAATTTTCTTGAGCACCAAATCAGCATATTAAAATTATTTCTAAAAAAAAAATTGCTTTGCCATCACAAGAATAAATTATTTAAAAATAGAAAACCGTTATTTTTAATTGTAATAACATATGTATTATTGTTTTTACTGTATTTATCAAATAAATGTAGCCTTGGTGAGCATAAGAGACTTCTTTTAAAAACATTTTTTTTAAAAACATACCGACCCACAACTTTTGCACAGTAATGTACTGAGGAACTATTCCTAATTTGACCTGTACAGCACATCTTTCCACATAAGGCCATATCTTTGTCATACCTACAAAAGCAGCCATTTGTGCTGCCGTTCTGCCGACTGAGTTCACTGTATCCGTCTCAGCTCCAGCATCCAACATCATCCAGGTGATATCTGTCTTTCCTGTACAATTTCATATTACTAGCATAAAATACAGCCAAATGAACAGTACCAGCACCAAAAGAATTTAGCAAATGAGATTCAAACCTGAGAGTCCTGCAAACATGAGTGCGGTGTATCCATGTTCGTGTTCGTTGCAGTTGACGTCTGCTCCATGCTGCAGCAGCAGTTTGCACATGTCTGCCCTGCCCTTATATGCGGCGTGCATGAGAGGGGTCATGCCATACTGAAGAAGAAATGCAAAACAGCAATAATCAAAAGCATTAATCATATTTTTCACATGTATTACATATTAACGATGGGTAATCGATGGTGACCCTGACAACTCCCAAAAGCACTCAAAGTATTAACCTGTGAAAATGAAATTTTCAGCTAATTTTCTGTTCCTTTAAGTCATCTTTCCCCCTTCAGCATTTCAAGCAACAAGTTCACTCATATTTGATTGTGATGTTTTTATCATCTGTTTGGACTCTTATTCTGATGGCACCCATTCACTGCAGAGGATGTAATTGTGAGCAAGTGATGTAATGCTAAATTTCTCCAAATCTGTTAAGATGAAGAAACAAACTCATCTATGTCTTGGATGGCCTGAGGGTGAGTACATTTTCAGCAAACTTTCATTTTTGGGTGATTCCTTAAATCAAGTGAAAGAAATAAAAAATCCTAAACTGTTTATTCGCTATCCAAAAAATAACTGGTTCACAATTTTTTATTCGTTTTATATATATGGTAATATACAACTCTATTAGCAATTAATTTTAATTTAGCACTTAATTTTGCTAGGTATGGGAGTAGTGGAAAACAATTGTATTATATTTAACAATGTATATACCCCGTCTGTTTGGTGGTGTTTCAATCCCGTGAAATCTAGATCTTTCATTCTGTACAATACATCAATATATTTTGTTTTTTCAAAATAAGAGACATTAATGTAAGTGTGTCTAATTCATACGCATCTTAATAGAATGAGGGTTTCAATAAATTACATTTATATTAATTGAAGTAAATTGAATTAATTGATAGAGGTGTAAAATAATCCCACCGTTTATAGGTGAGCCTTTAACGTGGTTGAAAATAATGGACTGTTCATATGAGATGATAAGTAACATAAAAATATAATACAATACTTGACAAAAACAGACCTATAATATTGTATATTCAAAACTATACAAGAATCGTTCTTACGAGTAGGATATATTCAATGAATCAATGAATCAGAAACATGTCACAAAATGATTCTTTCACACATCTGACTGAACAAATTGTCCACTAATCGGACTGAGTCGGTTTAACCGGTTCTTGAGTGAACAACTGACTCACTGAATTCAGAACTGTCTTTTGCGGGCACGGATTAGTAACTACTTTTGAACAGGTTCTTTCAAACGACCCGTTAAAAAGAATCGATTCGTCATAATGATTCGGACTTCCTTCATGATCGCTTCAGCTTGGGATAACAGCTTATTTGCATAAAGATAAAGAACGGACCAATGGCATTAAACTTGTCTACCTGAGCAAATCCTAGACAACTTCTAGCAACAGACGACTTGCCTTAGAGTGGAAAGTCTGCGGACTATGGTTTAAGTGTAGGCCTACACTAGATGTTTCATCATGGCTTGTGGTGGGTTTGTTTGTTCCAAAACTTCTCTTTGTATCTTGAACCTTATTTATGTGGTAAGTGTCTAACAGTTTACATGAATTTAGTCCTTAAAACTTGTTCTTATTCACATTAACAATACGTTTTGTCTTTATTTAAAAGGTTTAACAACATATATTACTTTTATTCATTACTATAACAATGGCAGTAACAATATGTAAGTTCATTAAATTGTGCTGTAAATTGTAAAATTAATTTTTATGGAATGTTTTTATGCTGATATTCATAATTGTGAGCAAGTGATGTAATGCTAAATTTCTCCAAATCTGTTAAGATGAAGAAACAAACTCATCTATGTCTTGGATGGCCTGAGGGTGAGTACATTTTCAGCAAACTTTCATTTTTGGGTGATTCCTTAAATCAAGTGAAAGAAATAAAAAATCCTAAACTGTTTATTCGCTATCCAAAAAATAACTGGTTCACAATTTTTTATTCGTTTGTTTCTTTTCAGCTCCAACAGAAGAACACATAATGAAAGACAAGCCAATCAGTATCATTTCCAGAATCCAGGCAGCTGCTTTGAATGCCCACACAAGTGTCAGAGACATCTGATTTGGGCAGGTCAATCTACACAGCAAGTTTTCTTATACAGAAGTTAAGCATTGTTTAAAAAAGAGCAAAGAACTACCATTAACAGAGTGATCAATTAAACCACCTTTGAAACTCTGTTATTATGATACATAATGACACTTAATTTCCTTACCTCATCAAGACCGTTTACCCTGACATCTTTGGATCCAAGCAGCCTGGAGGCTTCTTGCACATTACCTACAAATGTTCAATCACAGTGATCAGACACTGACCAACCTTAATGTACAGAATTATACATCAGAGCCTCAATGCACATTGAATGCTAAATTATCAATCATCATGATAATTTGAGGAATTCAACACCGAGCAACACAAAAATAAGGATGCTTAACTTTAAACGACCTTTTACTGGTACACATATGTATTTATCATATGATTGCATATCGTTAACGTTACCTGTCATATACAGTTTAACTGAATACATATGCAGGTATTTAGCATGCAACACATCAAGAATTAATTTAAAAACACACAAAGGATTATGTATATTTATGCAACCATAGCTTGCAGATTTTGTAAATGAAATCATACATCTGATACATTTCTAAACTGTTAAACGTGTTAATCTGCAGTTAGCCTGTTAGCATCATGCTATTGTTACCTGCAGCTATAACTTGAAGTAGCTCCTTCTCCGTGTCGGTCAGGTCTCCTTTCTGTGGTGCAGACATTATTATAGTCTAAGTGACGCTTTTGGTTTTAATAAGCAATATATAAGTTGACTGTGATGGATATGACAGCTCTGCTGTGCTGTGATTGTTCCACTAACTTGCTGTTCCACTGGCCCTGACTTGTCAACACGTTACTGTCTGCAATAAGTGTCTAACAGTTTACATGAATTTAGTCCTTAAAACTTGTTCTTATTCACATTAACAATACGTTTTGTCTTTATTTAAAAGGTTTAACAACATATATTACTTTTATTCATTACTATAACAATGGCAGTAACAATATGTAAGTTCATTAAATTGTGCTGTAAATTGTAAAATTAATTTTTATGGAATGTTTTTATGCTGATATTCATAATTTAGTATTGCTTTGCCTTTTCTGAGCATCTACACTACCATCCATTTCTGACTTCTTTTTTTCTTCAGATGGTCAGTCTTCTAATGATCAGTGTTGCAGCATGGGGCAAATGGTTTGGACTGGTCTCTAGTTTCAGGGTAATGGCTGCTGTCATCGCTGTTGGCTTGTTTCTGTTCGTCGTGGCCATTGTGGGATTGTGTGGAGCTGTGAAGCATCATCAAGTTCTCTTGTTCTTTGTATCCTTCCGAGTTACTCATTCAAGAAATTCTCTCCTTATCAATAATGTGTATGTCTATATGAGGTTTATCTCTGTTCAACACATCAGTCTTAGTTTGTGTTGTAGTTTGGGTCCTAAACTCACATTTACCAATTTTGCTGACTTTCGTGTTTGAAAGGATTTCCTTTGTTATCAACAGGTTTTGAATTTGTCCTAAATGATGGTAAAACAACCTTAACTAGTCTTTAGTACATGCTCATACTCTTCATGGTATTCATTTTGCAGTTTTCAGTGTCATGTGCCTGCTTGGCGATTAATAAAGAACAGCAGGTAATTATAGTCTGTAATACTTTGACACGGTGATGCTGGTTTCCTCATTCCTACATTTTAAATCCAAATGTTTTGTTCTCCTGCAGAACCTTCTCTTGGAGATAGGATGGAATAAGTCTGAATCAATGCAGGAGGATTTGGAAAGATCGCTGGATTGCTGTGACTTCCTTCAAGTGTACTACAATGAGAGCTGTGTCGCTGTAAGAACTATTATTCTCAATACGAGGTTAATGAATTGTTAAGCATCTACTGCTACATTTCAAATTCCTTTCAAGTTCCTTGCAATTGAACCTAATGTGAAAAACAGCATGCTTCTAGAAAGACCCTCTTAAATAGTCAGTAAATGAGGTCATGCAGTGAGATTTGGTAAATATTTTAATTTTTTGTAGGTCAAGATGTTAGTTAGTTAGTTAGTTAATGATTTATAAAGCTTCCATTTTTATTTACAATTTATAATTAAGTTACAAAGTGTGGACAAAATGAAAAATACTTCTACAAATGATTACTGGTGCTTGAGCAAAGTATGAGATCATCTTGTTTACATGCAATGAACTGACAAGATTATTTTCTGCTTTATTTCTGTCTTCTCTTTGACATCAGACCTGTTTCAAGAATCAAACATGTAGACCATGTTCAGTTATAATCCAGGCCTACGCTGATGACGCTCTACAGTTTGTTGGAGGAGTCAGTCTGTTTTTCAGTTTTACAGAGGTGAGCAAACACTGGACATCATTTGATTCTGAAAACATGTCAAATGAAACATGGAAATACTGATTGAAGCCGTTAACAGTTCAGTCAGTGTATTTAAGGTTTGGTGCTTGTTTCTTAGTTTTCTGTCAAGTTGAGATGTTAATAAATTAATTTTTAGATTAATTTTGTTATATTTCCTGTTTCAGATTCTGGGCGTCTGGCTAGCATATAGATACAGGAATCAGAAAAATCACCAGCAAAATCCTGGAGCTTTCATTTAATAAAGCATTTTGGTCGGACACACATATTCAAGACTTTCAGCTATACTGAATTTTTGTTCTTGAGTGGACTTTTTTAATGAATCTTTTTTAAATTTTATTTATGATCTGTAGTTCCTCTTGATAACACACTCCATTTCTTCATTTTTTGGGATACAATAGCAAATTAAATGTTCTGTTAACTTTAAAAAATATTTATTTGTAGAACAGCCATTATGATTTGCATCTTGGTGGAGTTCACAAATATTTCCTAACACTGATTATGCAGGTTAACCGATCTTGAACTTTGGTCCCAATTGAACAACACTTACAATGATAAAGAGCTGCTAAATAAAAATGAAAAATTAAAGACATGAAAATGCATCTTTCATTTCTGATTATAAATCAAACTAGAAAACATTTATAAGGAACCAAAAATACATTTCCTGCTTCTTAAATCAAACAATATGGTCATTGCATTAAGCTCAGTAATAAGCTTGCACACTGAAACAACTTAAACTACACCCAACCCACTTCCACATCATTCTGATCAGGATATGACCAGGAACGTCTACATCATCTGTTTGCATTCCACATATTAGCCAATGGTGCAACTCTCCCAGAGGTTGTCCAGCCGGTTTACCACACATGCATTCACTGTGATGTTCCAGTTCTCCCCTCTGCTGACTGCAGTGAAAACATACCAAATATACTTACCTGCGCATTTACTTGGATTTGCATCACAATATATTTGAATTGACATGTGATTAATTTCTCTGTATTTTATTTCAGTGGCAGATTGTGATTTTTGTATTTTCATTTGTGTAATTGTGTAATGACACTCACACCTAAAGGCTACAACACACATCAGTTTTTGTTCCGTACTGAGTTATACAATCGAATCCTCTCATTATAACATACAGAGTCTATACATAATATATTGATTGCGCAGTGTAGAGACAGGGCCGGCCCAAGCCTTTATGAGGCCCTAAGCAGAATTTTATATGGGGGCCCCTCAGTGCTGCCAATACGACTGATTATTGTCAATGCACACTAAAAATCTAACACACCCTTTATCAATTTTATTTATTGCAGCTGTGTTGCTTACATCATACCAATGTCAGCCTGGCATTTTTTTACCCTTCTACGATTTTTGATTGTAATAGTAGCAAACCCACAAGATTGGCCAGGTGTTAATTTGCACTTTAACATCCAAAGTCTTACAGTACTAAGTGGCATATGTGGTTTACTGGAAAGTAGCTAAATAAACAATGGATTTATGGAAACAGAATGTTATTTTAACAACAAATTATTAAACACATAGCGAGCCATCTGTACATCTAAAACAACAATTAGCTAATTGAGGCACAATGATATTGGAACATAATAGCAAAGACACCCAAAGGTAGGCTAAGGTAAATAATGTTAAGCTGTTTTTCAGTAACAAATTTATGAAACAGAAGCTTATTTTTATTACAAAAATATATAAAGTTATTTTTAAACAGAAGACAAAAACTTTATTATTATAAGTCTTATAATATATTAAGATGTCAAGGCTATTTAAAGATGTTTAATCAAACATGAACTTCCCTAAAACAAGAAGATACCCTATCTAGGCTATGATAATTAGCCTAACTAGTCAGCCAGGTCCCCCCTCCACCCCGAAACGCACATTATTTTAAAGGGGTCATATGATGCGATTTCAATTTTTCCTTTCTCTTTGCAGTGTTACAAGCTCTTGGTGCATAAAGAAGATCTGTAAAGTTGCAAAGACTAAAATCTCAAATCCAAAGAGATATTCTTTATAAAAGTTAAGAGTCAACCACGCCTACTAAAACGGCTCGTTCTAACACGCCCCCACATGTCTACGTCACGATGTGGGAAGATTTGCAAAACGCCACCCAAATGTTCAAGCAAAGAAAGTAGGCGTAACTTTTATTCTCGCTGTAGTATTGTTGTTGCCGCCATGTCTTGAGCTGATCCGTGCTGGTCGCTGAGGGAATACATCAACTTCGCGCTGTGGATCGCCGGATCGGCTTTCACCGTGGACGAAGCCCCGAGTCCAGCCCGGGGTCGTCACATGGGGTTGCCCACTGGATGCAACGAATCTGCAACGAAACGATGCTCGTTTATAATGGGTTTTCATGTTTTTGAATCATCGCTCCGGCCGGGACACGGCATCACAATATGTAACATTTCCGTCACACGCTTGAGGTATTCGGCCAATCATAACGCACTGGATAGCTGGCCAATCACAGCACACCTCGCTTTTCAGACCGATGAGCTACTTAAAAATCGACACGTTTCAGAAAGGCAGGGCATAGAGGAGAAACAATAATGTACAGTATGTGGAAAATAATGGGTTTTTTTTACTTGAAACCACAAACACATTTCATTACACCAAATACACAAAATAATGTTCTTTTTAGCAACATCATATGACCCCCTTTAACGCGCCGCGGGGCACCTGGCCAACCAGATTTCTGTGGGGGCCGTTGCCACCCCTGGTCACCATGTAGACCTGCCCTTGTGTATAGAGATTTTTGTAATAGTATAAACTAAACTGGTACAACAAAGGTTATTGATTTAAATTTATTATGTTCTTGAGGTGATTTTAAGCATGTAAAAATACAAAGATTTTAATAAATGGAAAACAAACAAGCAACATGTTTGCACAAACTTCTTGTTCTAAATGTCTTCAGCTATAATCCACACATTTGTTCCATGAATAAAAGAGATGAGTAAACTGGTATTATGTGGCAGAGTCTGTAAATATATACATATATATATAGGGGTTTTGATTCATTGACACGAATAATTTAATTTAGTTCAACAAAAAGTTTCAGTCGGTGACTCTTTCTGTACATCTGTACACCAGTAGGTGGTGACGAGTGAATGTCTTTTTTCATATTATAATAGTGTTCTTCTTCACATAGTGTCAAGTATATGTATTTAGTATAAATACCTATTTCACTTTCGTTTTTAAAGAGTAAAAAAAAAATTAGAAAATTAGAATCGACTCCAGGGATCATAACAGCCCTTGATTTCAGTGAAATGAGCGACATCTACGTGAAACGACGCCAAACAATGGGAGTGAAGTCTGTGTTCGCCAACGGTCGAATCAACAACACAGAGAGACTCAGCGCCCTCCAGCTATTGAATCTCGATGTTTAATACAATAATTCTGACAGTTAAACAATCATTTAATGTACACAACCTCATAATCCATCGTCCGTACTCTTAAACAGCTTAAGTTTATCTTTGTCTAAACTGAAGCCAGAGGAACCTGCCTCTGAGCATCGTTCATTAATGATAAAGCCTGATGTCTCAATAAAATCACTGAGCATCTTTTCAAAACTATCCAAAGCCTCATTCGAATTGGAAAGAAAGATCAGGGCTCGGTCTTCATCAATGATGGACTTTATGGTTTCTCCTTGAACTTTAGGCCCCAAAAACCTGTTCTCGCAGTTAATGGAGTTGATCAGAGGAAGAAGGCAGATGCTTACTAGTAAAGGAGTCAGTGGACATCCCACCCTCAGACCTTGTGATCTGTGGTCTGCCATCAAAAACAGCTTCAACACGGATCTAAACCGGTCAGGTAGGTTCACAGACTTTAAGCTATTAAACAAATATTGCCATTTTAGTGCACCTGGATCTAGTTTTAATGAAATAAGCAAAACTGGGATTCGATCACTGATGCTGTCTAGAACAGAACTGTGTGGTTTACTTTGACCTGGATTTAAAATATGTTCAAAAACACTTTTTAACCTCTCTGCCAGAATCAAAGCCAGAATTTTATAATCCACATTCATTATTGCAATCGGATTTAAACGATATTGAATATCATAGCTGTAGGTATGGTCGTTTTTGCCTTGGCTCAGGGATTCGAAAACCGTTTGTTTAATTGGCTTGAGGTCAAAGATTTGGTTGAAAAATGCTTGTAAGAGGTCAATAATTTTAGAAGCATAATGCTTATAGAAATGTACTGTTAGTCCATCTACTGTTAGACTCTCAGACTGAGGCAAGGACAGTATAGCGACCAGAGTCTCTTTTCTCGAAACAGGTTCACTTAGAACAGTAATCAGGGTGGATTTTACTTCTTCAAATCTCTCAGTTTGGTATAAATGATCCAAGAAGTTCAGGAGACTCTGAGAAGTATTTGGTGTATGAAGAACCTCGATGGATGATTCTGAATCTAGACGACCTTAAAAAAGAAATGATGTCAAAACAATTCTTAAATAATTTACATCCAAAACAAGAGCAGGAAAAGAAAAGCTCTACCTCCTTGGTCCATCTCTTGAGGAAGCTCAATCGTGTCTGAATGTCTTGATGGTTTTGGGTGAGATCTTTGTCTTTGCAAAGCTATTGCCTCACATACAAGTCTGACCTTCACTCCTGGCCACATGTATTCATTCCTTTTGGTATTTATTTGTGAAATTTTCTTTATTATGCTTGAAAGGTGGTCCATACATGCTTTATCTTCAAGGAGACAAGAATCGAACTGCCATTTTGGTCCATTTGTCTGAATATGAATTGACAGTGGGGCATGATCGGAAACATACTCTTCTTTATCCAAGTACATTGGTCTCTTGTGAATGTTACAGGCAGTTACACTTGTTAAATTATGACTTTGCAAAAAGAAGTAGTCCAATCTCGACTGACCTTTCTTATTGAAATATGTAAAGCTTTTCACTTCCGGGTAAAGACACCGCCAGACATCCAACAAGCTGAAGTTTTCCAAAAAACATTGGAGAGCATCGAAAGACTTTGTGTGACTTCGGTTTCGTAAATTTGATGTTTTGTCAAGGTCGGCATCCATGACTGTGTTAAAATCCCCACCGACCACCAGATATGCAGAATGTGGGATGTGGGTGGAAATTTGTGTGAAATCTGTCAGCTTAATTTTTTCATCATTTGAGTTATACATGTTGATAAATACGAAATCATGCCCCCAAATTTGACACAAAATGATTATGAATCTTCCCTTTTCATCGCAATTGACATTGAAACCACCACATCCGAGGTTCTTTTTGAAAAGTACGGCCACC